GCAAAAAAATGGTGCGATTTGGGAACAAATCACACCAATTAGAGCCAATCCGGATTACAGGGACCACCAGTGATTTCAAAATGGATGTAATAAAACTCGGAATTCCCGAGTTAGGTGGTGGATTTTTCTTGAATCGCGTAAAAGAAGAGAAATCAGAAAAAAAAAGAGATTACAGCAATAATATTGTTTGTTTTTATCCAGAGCGCGTACTCCAGAAAGCCATTTGCTCTTCAAAAGGTGACGATGGCTTTGAAAACATTTTAAGATGACAATGTTGAAAAACCTTCGTACAGTCTTGGTGTGTTCTAATGATAGTTGTTATGTTATGTAGATGCGAAACAATATCACCCGGCCTCGTTTTCAACTCGCAATTTCAGGCTAAATACCTCGCTTCCTTAATTAATCAGAATGCGAGATTTTATTCACATATGCGATTCTTAATTAAACTGTTAAATCCTGTGAATCAGAAAACAGTAGAAAGCCCGCCAGAGCAAAGTTGCGTGACTCCCAATTTTCGTATTGTTATGCTCCATTGAGCATGCGATCCTCGATATATAGTCAGCAAAATCCAGGCTAACATGAATCTGGGTATGTTCTCATCTGGAATTTTTATTCATTTGCAAAAAGCATTCGACACGGTTGACCACTCGATCCTGTTACATAAACTCAATCACTATGCAATTCGCGGAGTTGTAAATGACTCGTTTTCATCGTACTTGTCTGGAAGCTAGGTCCAAACTACTCAAAAAGGATTCTACAGATCTCCCAAAAAGAAAGAAAAACCCTGTGTGGGGTCCCACAGGGCTCCGTGTTAGGGCCATTGCTGTTTCTTATTTATATCAATGACATTTATAAAGCTTCAGATAAATTAGCATTTTATTTATTCGCTGACGATACAAATGAGCTACTTGCCGACAGAAACCTTAAATCTCTTGAAACAGTGGTGGATGTGGAACTAATGAATGGTTATGATTGGCTAGCCTCAAATAAACTTTCTTTAAATGTGGAGAAAGCCAATTTTTTCATCTACCATCCCAGCCAGAAACGACTTAATTGCAAACTAAATCTAAAAATATATGATAATAATAGAAAACATTTCATTTGCCTGGAGCGTAAAGACTGTGTGAAATATTTAGGTGTACTTATTGACATCATATCAGTCATATTGCATAAAAAATAAGTAAAGGCATTGGTATAATTTGTAGACTAAGGCATCTTGTACCATATTCGACATTACTAAATATATATAGATCACTTATTTATCCTTATTTATCATATGGCCTTGTCGCTTGGGGCCGAGCAGCTAAGTCTCATATGAAAAAAATATTGATACTTCAGAAAAGGGTTGTGCAATTAATGAACTTTGCCAACTATAATTCGCACGCCATTCCTTATTTTATATCGGCTATTATTATGCCAGTTAATATGCTTTACGTTAAATTCTTCTCTCTTAATGCATGATGTCCATAACAATTTAGCCCCCCCCCCCCAATCTTTCTGGTTTGTTCACTCTTTCCCACCAAATACACAATCATAATACCCGATCTTCATCTGCTGTTAGCTATTACATACACTGTTCTAGGCTAAATCAACATAAAAAACTCATTCTCAAGGATTGGTTGTAGAATTTTGAATATCATCCCAGGGAACTTAAGGAATTTTCCAAAACACATTTTCAAGAAAAAGATAGTGACAATATTATTTTAAAATATTCAAGTTTAGGATAGTTATGTTGAAGTAGAACGAATAATCAATGATGTGTCGAAAGTTGAATCCAGTTAATAGTAGTGTATAACTATGTATTCTATTTATTGTCATGTGTTTTTGTTTCTGTATTTTTATCTCATACTGTCATTTCTGCTCTACTGATTTAATTTTTAATTTCTGTTTCTTGTATATTTATTGAATCTTTTGTTGAGCCTAATTTTATTTAGGATGTTTTAGCGTCCACACACTGCCCGCAGAGACTAGCTCTGCTATTTGTGGGTAGTGCGTCATTATAAAGTGTTAAAGTGTCAAAATAAGTCTTTCCAAACAAATGTTAAAAAAAAAATGTTATTACAAAGCTTAGCCTGGTAGTTAGTGAAAGTTACAGATTTCATGTTAAGATGCTTCCAAATGGGTATGCCTGAAAACAAATGAAAATAAAAGTTCATGTAGAAACCAAGTGGCATAACCATTACTGTCTCTTTAGTCCGAATGTTGGTTAAAAATATGCAATTTGACAATATGTTGATGAGATAAACGCAGGCGCGGAATTTAGTTTTTTGATTGCACCTGTCCTGTTTTTTTTTTTTTTTTTTTTTTTTTTCTCGTTCATCTTCTCGACAAGGTTGCAAAGTAACGCGCTGATGAATAACTCACTGAGTTCAACCGAAACTCTGAGACCTCCATTAACTTCTCAGACTTAGAAATGACTCAGCGACGGCTATTTGTCGCGACTGGACGGAAGGAGGAACTGTACAGGCGTGAATGAAATGGTAAATAGCTAACGAAACCCTTGAAACGAATGACAAAGTAAATGCACAGGGTGGTCATGAACATTGGATTCATGGGGTTACGCTTGAATTAAAGGCAGTCAAAACGATGGTATAACAAACCAACATAACGTGGTGTATAGCAGTCCTTTCACATGAGAAAAAAAAAACTTCATGTATTACTCAGTATCACGACTCAGTAACACTGTCCTCTGATTCACTGTTTGAAGAGCTGATAGAAAGCAAGTACTCTTTAATTAGTGTAAAAGCTTGATCACTTAGAAGCCCTCTTTCCATCATTTGCTTTAATTAGCCAGTAAACTTGTGTTACTTTTAAGGATATTAGAGCAGCCACATTGACTTTCCCAACTGGAATCTCACCATCAGACAGTAGTTTGGAAATTAAACCAAAATTCGGTCAATTCTTCCCGTCCAGCTTTTCTCTTCTGTGCCTTTCTCTCATTTTCACTATTTGCTTTAAATAGTTCGGTGACTTTTATTTAAGTTGTATTAAGACTGTTCCTGTGGTTGAGGGCGGGTC